TATATATGTATATATATGTATTATGTATGTATATACAGTAAATATACATATATATATATATATATATATATACATATATATATATATATATATATATATATATATATATATATATATATATATATATATGTGTGTGTGTGTGTGTGTGTGTGTGTGTGTCAATATATGTACATATAAATATAAATATATATATTTACACACACACACACACATATATATATGTTTATGTATGTAATATATATGTATTATATCTGTTTATCTTTATCTATATGTGTCTATTCTTCCCATCAGTCGACAAGCTCATAATGGTGGCCGGCATAAGAAAAAACGCTCAAGAAAATGTGGTTTTCTTTTATTACTCTACACATCAGCATACCTGTATTTCGCAAATGGTGATAGTTACAGGAAGGTAAGTTTTAAATCATTTTGTCATATCACGTTTGTTCGAGCCTTTTGCTACTACATCACTTTGTGTCGGTGGTGAGCACAGTGTATTTTGGTAGAGTGGGGGACACTATTTTTGGAAGTATATAACCCACACCAAGCAGGATCGTGCTGTACATATTGGCTGTAGTTGTGAGTTATTTTTATTCATTAAGAAATACATTGACTTCCTCTAGTATGATTCTTCGCCAAAATAAGAAAACAAATTATAAAGGGTAAGAAAAACAGACGTATTCTTTTCATTATGTTACTCAGCAATGAGCATTTGTCCTGTGTCACTGTGCTTAGTCATAAATGCCCTCTATGAGTACGAAATGCAGTAAAATAACCTAAATAAGAAAAATGCATTTAGCAACTCGACAAATGTTCACCGCCTACTCAGTTCCAGTGGCGAGAGGCGTCGTGGAGGCCGTAACCGTCGGAAAAGGCGGAATTAAGGGCATTCCCTCGCAGAACCGCGCTGTGCATTACCATCCCTGCGTTCACGAGAGCTCTTCAAGCGCGGTGCGTTTCGTCCTGCCTCAAGTCTCGCCGACTGGTGCGACAGGACCACGAAATGTACGTATCGGTCATACCATTATTTGGTGCAATTAAATCAAACGTTTGCTAGGAAAACTTTAAATCCCGATAAAACCTTATTGAAGACGCAACATATTCATTAAAAATATCAGACCACTCCATATCTTATAATTCAAAAAGAGAGGAAGTATAAAGTAACCATTATTCTCATCGGTAAATAACTACAGAGAAGGCTTAATTATACAGGTTTCTACAGAACTATAAGTTTAATAGCTTCTATTACATAAATTACACGACTACAGTAAAAATAGAAAATACATTAATGACATTCACATATACAAAAAAAAAAAAAAAAAAAAAAAAAAATCGGCTTCCCTCGATAGGTAACGCAAAATCATTTCTGAATTAACGTTTGTAACATATAATTACTGTCTCGAATAAAAAAGTGTTAACATGCCCACTTTTTCGTCCAATCTCTGGCTGTTTCGTTAAATCTCTCTCTATCATCTACAAACTCATTTGCTATTTCCAGGTCCAAGAAATCCTCAGGACTTGGGTCCGCCATAAGTGAGTAAAGGCCGAGGAGCACTGGAAAGCAGAAGAAAGACAAGTATTTAGGAGAATGTTATAAAAGAAAAAAATCTGTAAAAATATACATCTACATAAGTACATATATATGAAAACACATACATATAAGTATAAACACATACACACACACACACACACACATATATATATATATATATATATATATATATATATATATATACATATATTCATATATATGTATATATATATGTATATATACATATAAATATATACATATATATGTGCATGTATGTATATAAATGTTCATGTACGTATATGTATATACATATACATACACACACAGATACACACACACACACACACACACACACACACTACACACACACATATATATATATATATATATATATATATATATATATATATATATATATATATATATGCACACACACACCAGGCTTCTTATGGGTAAAAGCTGATGATTTAAGACTTTTTAACACTCATACCAATTGGAGCCTGGAGTCACATGTCGCTGAATACACAATTCCCCATAATGTGAGGCCTACTTGTCGTGCCAGTGACCAAGATAAAAAAAATCACCCCGACATATTTTTCATAGCCTCTCGGATAGAGAATTAACCATCATGATCATTATTATTGCTTGGCACACGGCCCTTAAGTAAACGGTTGCGTCGATCAGCAAAGGTTAAGGTCAAATGTTGAAAAATGATTTCCGCTCAAGATCAGCAAGTGAGTGAATCGCGATGGTGTCCGCCCGTACCAGATAATTGTACAGTTACGCGCACATAGATATGCCTTTGGCAAATTTAAGACATTTTAAGTGCGCGCCCCTGTGTGTGTGTGTGTATGTGTGTGTGTGTGTGTGTGTGTGTGTGTGTGTGTGTGTGTGTGTGTGTGTGTGTGTGTGTGTGTGTGTGTGTGTGTGTGTGTGTGTGTGTGTGTGTGTGTGTGTGTGTGTGTGTGTGTG